GGCTTTGTTTTGCAGAAAAAAATTTAGGAAGAAACAATAGGATGGCTTTCCCCACTTCTTTAATGACTTTGCGTGTTTTGAAGTAACGCGCGGTTTACTCCAGGCTTCTGTATTTGCTTTATGGATTGATTGTCCTCCAATCGGTCTTGTAATAAATAATTGTCAAATAGTCATTTACGTACCTGGAGGATTCCTCCATTTTTGATTTCTGGGCCTCGAATTCTTGTCAATGTCCTTTGCCTGCACGGGCAAAACTTTGTAGGCTGAGTAAAAAGGAGTGTTTGTGGTTGGATCGAAGAGTGAAACAAAAGAAGGGGGCGCTCCTTGCTGGATTTCTGTGCCTCGATTAATGTCAGGAATTCCAACTGGACGCTTGCCTCCAACGAAAAAAGGGGGAACGGTAGGTCCGCCCCAGAGAAATCTTTTTCCTTCACTTGGCGATTCCTCTAAAGGAAAATCACACAATCGGTTACAATATTGCCAAACAAGGATTAGGTAGCTTCATCAGTTTAATTTAACAACTCAAGTAGAATTAATTTTACCGATCACGTTTGGCTGAAATTTCCCAGTTCACCCTTCACCCTTCACATAAGAACCATTCTAGGCTACAATTTTAATACAGAGTTTTTTTTAAATATATCACCGTACATCATATGCGATACAAAAAGGGCAAAAAAAAAACTTGTCCAAACACGGACAGTGTTGCAAGACCACGATACTGTACTGTCAATACATCCGTAGCTGTACAACATATCCGACTAACTAACCATGTAAAGGAGGGCACTTTGAGGTCGGCATACACTCACGAGTAGAGGTTTCCTGTAATGTAGTGAAGCCACAAAGGCTTAAAAACATACACTTTACTCCGAGCACACGAAGTAAATCACTCCTCACTTTCCCCGCGCTCTCGCACACACTTTAAGTTCCCGTATATATTTACGAACTACGGCTGTCCTAATACATTACATTTCCCCCTTTTACACTTATATTAAGAACCTGATTTAGAACCTAAGTATAGTCTAATTCCGTTTATACGGAGGTTAATTTAAAAACCTAGGTTCTTATATGCAGGTCTTTACTGTAGCTTTCGTTAGCTGCGTTCGATAGGTTACGAATCGTTGGGTAAGGTAGCTTGTATTCATCGGCCTGTTTCGGAAACGCTGTGAAAACTCATCTCAGAGCGCTGGTGGCTTGTCTTGAGCTAGTTGGTGTAGGTTTAATTTCCTTGGTGAAATGATAGAAGACAAAGACGATTGCAAACTTCCTTTTAAAGACCACATGGTCATAATAGATGAATCTTGCAATGACCACGATTATTTTTCAATTAAAATGCAACACATAATCAACTCCCACGACCGTGACGCACTTCAAGGGGAAGCGCGTAAACATGACCAGAACACACTTTTTTAAAGACGAATCTTTCAAAAATCAGGCCACACAAGTCAATTTATGCGACCAAACAACAAATGCAGACGTGTCTTTTTCTTCGCAGAAACAACTACATGAACGACTAAGTTAGATAGAAGACGCGAGAAACGAATGCTGCTACAACTCCTACGACACACCTGGCACAACGAACATAGGCCATAAACTCACGCATGTAATCAATTAAGAGACATATAGATTGTTTGTATCTA